AGATGTGTATAAGAGACAAGCTATAGATCGTCTTGATTGGATCAGTAGATAGCGAGATATTCTTAAATTACTATTATTATTCAAATTTAAGAGCGTAAACTTTTGTAATATTACGTTTTTAGTGTAATATTTCGAAATTTTACATCACCTCTGAAATATTACACTAAATTATGCCTAAACAAATTTCCTGATGTTGGTTAACGTTCTGATTAATTTTTTTATTTCATTTTTTATTCAGAATGTTAAAAAACGTTCTGAAATAATATTTTTTTTAATTTTTTAATTGGAACGTTAGTTAACGTTCTGATTAATTTTTTTATTTCATTTTTATTCAAACCATTTTTTAATATTCTGAAATAATATTTTTTTTAATTCTTTAATCAGAACGTTGACTAACATTCTGATTAATTTTTTTATTTTATTTTTTATTTGAAACGTTTTTTAACATTCTGAAATAACATTTTTTTTAATTTTTTAATCAGAACGTTAGCTAACGTTCTGATAACAAAACATTTATTAACATTTCATAAGTATTTTTTTTCATTTTTTTTAACAAACCGTTAAAAATGTTAGAAACATAATTAACATTTTGTTTTCCTTTCTTTTTTTTAGGTCAGCAGCTTCCTGGATGATTTACAGTCGAGATTTTGAAGGTATTCTTTAAAATCTTTTTTTATTTTTTATTTTTAAGAAATAACACTAATGTTTCTTTTTTTTGTAGGTATTGGAATATTGAATATTATGGTAAGTTTTATGACATCTGTCACAAAACTTTAATTTTTTTTTATTTTTAAAGAAACAATACTAACGTTTCTTTCTTTTTCTTTTGTAGATATTGAACTTTAAGTATAATAGTGATTTTCACAACATTTGTTGCAAAACTTTAGTTTTTTAACTTTTTTAAAGAAACGATACTAACGTTTCTTTCTTTTTCTTTTGTAGGTGTTAGACTTTTGGATAGTATGATAAGTTTTGCAACGTCTGTTGCAAAACTTTATTTATAATATTTTTTTTAAAAAACGTTTAATAACGTTTCTTTTCTTATTTTTGTAAATCTACAGATTTTTCAGATAGATAAAATGATGAGTTTTGCAATGAAACGTTGTAAAATTTCATTTTATTTTTTAATTTTTTTTTAGAAACATTTACTAACGTTTCTTTAAATTCTTTTTGTAGGTCTACAGTTTTTGGGTAAAAAATGGTAAATTTTGCAACAAAATGTTGCGAAACTTTATTTTATAATTTTTTTTAAGAAACGTTGACTAACGTTTCTTTTATTTTTTTTGTAGGTCTTTCAGTATGTATATTTAGCTTTGGAAAACGGGAAAATGGAAGGGTAAGTTTTGAAGCATTTTGCTTTGAAACTTTTAAATAATATTTTTTAAATTTCTTCAGTTTTAGGAAATGTTTCTAACGTTTCCATCCTTTTTTTTGTAGGTTCAAGGCGTTGTGTTCAGAAGCTTTAAATGGTGAGTTTTGTAATAAATTTTACAAAACTTAAATTTAATTTTTTAATTTTTTTTTACTATGAAACATTCTAACTGAACGTTTTCCTTCTTTTATTTTATAGAATCCATTCAGTATTTAGAAATATAAATCAAATCATGTAAGTTTCATTAACAAAACTTTTAATATTAGTTTTTTTTTTAATAAAAACTCTACCTTATTATGGTTGTATCACCAGGGGTGTTATATCAACAGAAATTTAGTACGTTGATCGCTTAAAAATCTGTAGCAATCCAATTATAACAAGAGAAATTAATTTTTTATTAGACAATTTTGTTGACAATTTTACATTAAATAATATAATTTGTATTTATAAATAAATTTACAATTAATAAAATTTTATATATGTTAATAATATACAACAATATATGTTAATAAACTAATACTACAATTAAATTAACAAATACATTGCTATACGTATTTTTAATATTAATATATGTGTTTTTATACATTATTATACATGTTTTTAAACTATCATTGTTTTATTATGTGTAGCTTTACGTTTAAATAGATGTTGCTTTACATGTTTTTAAATGGCGTCAGTTTACAAAGGATTTGTTGCTCAACACTTTTTGACGTTGAACAACACATTATACGCCAGCCCAAAACTTCCTGATGTTATTGATATTATTTGATAAAACAAAAGTAATCTGAAAATGAGAATAAAAATGTGATTCATTATATAAAATAAATTTAAGCATTAATTTATTTTTTTTCATTTTAATAATGTAAAAAAACAAGATTGAAACAAAAAAAAAGGTAAAAAGTCACCTATTTAACCATTATTTACATTATTAAAATAATATTATAATCATTATTTCTTAATTAAAAATTGATAGATTCTCTTCTAATAGATATAGATAATTTTTACAATAAACTTTGCAACATATTGTATTTATAGATGATATTTCTAAAGGTAGTCAATTATCTTAATAAATATCTTGATGAATATCTTAATAGCTAAATTTAAGTGATATTATTATTCCTATCATTTCCATTATTTTTACTATTTTCATCAAATATATTTTCTGAATTTTTATACATTGGTAAATTAATTATTCTTATTTCATTTTTAATCATGATTGAACTTGTTATTTGATCCTATATAGTAACTTATTTTGATTGACTCCTTTGTTTGGCATAAA